TGAAAAATCAGCGAATTTTCCTGAAATACTAAGAGAAAACCCTAAATTTGAACATTTTGGGAGAGGTGCTAGGATTTTGGGGAGAGGGGGAAGCACCCTTGCTTCATTGCTTGGGGAGAGCCAGTTTTTATCATCATATAGTGTTTAGGTAATTTAATTTACTAGTTCGTATTATAATAACTACATTCTTTGGAGCTGTGCAGGTGTGTCTGCCTGCCTTGGCCTATAGTACAGATAGCTTGTAGCTACAGGTAGCTAAACTTGAGTCATACATGTACGTAGGTTATTCCAGAATGGCCTTGAATTGTATACTGTTGGCCCAGGCGTGGTGTGTTAAACCAAGGCTTTAATAAGTTATGTTGATGAAATGGTCTTGTTTATTTGTTGATAACTACCTCGAGAGCAGGATGACAATGTGTTGCGTGTTGCCAAATGAAAAGGCCTTTGTTGACAAAATTTGCGCATCCTTGTTATGAGTCGTGAGCTCGTTTGTTATCAACTCGTGTCCTGGCCAAAGTGTCAAACCTGTCACGGATGTTCTAGTGTATCCTCAGTGGTGCCCAAACTTCTAGGTATTTGTTGAGTTTGCAAAAGTATGTTTTTGGACATTTGAGGTAAAAGACTGAAGTGTTTTGCGCAAAACAATCCTCTTGTCTATTCCTGCTGACTCTGAAAAAATACAGAATACAAAAAAAAAGACAAATTACACCTGAACATTGACATCTATACATCTATACATACCGGTACTATACATGTACACCAAACACAGGATTCTTCTTATAAAAATTTATTTGGCAGAGGAAAAAAGTTTATGAAACTATGATTTAACTAGGTTAACTTTGTGAGTCAATGAGTTGTGGGGAGGACATTGATACAGATGGGGTTGAACTTTATCATACAACATACTCTATTCATGTGTCGTAGAGGAAACATATAGATAAAGGTATACTAAGACCACCACATCAGAAAAAAATGAAATAGGATCAACTAAATCAATTTAAATGCAGCATCAGATCAGAAATCCCTGAGATTCAAGACTTATTTAGGTTTCTAGATATTTAGGTGACTGTTTAAAACATCAACATTCTTCAGAAAGTTCTGATAACACCATTTTTTTTCAATGTGGTGGTCTTACAGTACCATGTACCTGGCAAAATTCCGAGACTTGACATTAGGTTGTACCACTGTGACAATGCTTTTCTGCTGCAGGTACTACTGTGCATGTGCAAAGCCCTTTATTTCTTCCCTGCAAAGTGTGTGACTGTGTTTCAGTGCTCCGGTCAGAATGTCCGTTGTGTCTGACCCTGTTGTTGTTGACCTTGAATCCCCCCTAGACTTGTCCCTAGAGGTCGTAATGGAGGACGCCCCCAAATCTCTCAGGCCAATTCTTAAGTCTCCAAAAAGTTCGCGGTCCTCTCGGAGCCGAAGCTCCAAGTCCAGCCGGGAGCGCAGAGAAAGGAGAATGTCGGACGAGGGGTCCGAAACCAACTCCGACTCCTCGGCGGCAAAAGAACTCAAACAAATTCTAAAGAAACCCGGGAGCCGCAAGGGGATCGCCAAGAGCGCCTCGGGAAATTTCTACTCGTCCTCGTCGAGCTCAGAAGACTCGGAGAGCGAATACGAGTTCTCCA